CGGAGGACTCCTTGATGGGCAGAACCAGGTTTAGCACGGATCGAAACCCTTGCCCTATTGAATGGACGTTCGCGATCCAATCGAGGCTGGAAGTACCCACATGATCATCGACGGTAACTGCGTTAGATGAAGATGCCCACGGATCGGGCTGAACCGGGTTTAGCATGGGTTGAACCCCGCCCGGGCCGAAGTTACCCGCGTAAGATGAAGACGCGCCCGAACCGGTCAAGATCTGCACGACTCGGTTGGTGGCCTGGGTTTTAATTTGCAGGAGCATCTCCGCCAACGCATCAAGCGTCCGCACGTCCAAGCCGTCCAAGCTGTCGAGCGACTCCAATCCCGACGACACCGCCGTGAGCTGCGCCCGGAGCACGGTCTTCCTGGCTTTCTCAGCGTCGATCTGCTTTCGCAGCTCGGTGACTCGATGGTTCACGCTTCCGGGTCGATGGGCATGCGAACCGGCAGCGGGAATCGGATCGCTCGAAAGAAACCTATCCACGACTCGCTCCACGTCCGGGCAACCGAAGGAGTAAGGGCGACCGACGGGGGAAAAGACCACCACGGCCACTTCTGTGCCGCACAAAGTGCAGAGATCGCTGGCCTTGGTAAACAATCCTTGCTTTCGCTTGGTGAAGCTGACGTAACGAGCTGCAGGTTTCTCTATCTTCTCCAGCGTTATCTTTCGCCTGCCCTTTGAGGTCTTCCTCTTCCCCACCACATTCATGATGTTGGATGGCGTACGTACGTAGGCGTGATGGGTGGGGGTGGCGGTATATATACTGTTAGAAATCATCGTCGCATATGTAAGCTTCCACTGATTTCTAAGTTCGTTCGGGGAGGTGGAGTTGAATTGGAGTTTAGATGCTTTCGCAGCCTGCATTTGCAAATCGGTGCCACGATCGCAGTCTTCCAAAATATTATAAATATATTTTTCCTTCAAATTTAAATTCTATAATTAAGAGTTTTTTTACCCTCGATAGATTAATTCGTTTCCTTGTATGAGTAGTCTAACAATAAAACTTAATTCCCAATCGAAATCTAATTCCTGATTTATGCCATCAATTAATTTATTATTAAATTCTTCCTTTGTGGGAAACTCTCCGTTCTTTTATCATACTTAATGATGAAGAATCGCCTGTTCATGTCAACAAGGAACAAAGATCTTTATCTTGGTGAGGCTTAATGCAGTCTACCGATAGGTGCGACCCGACTCGATTCAACGGATGGGGCAACACCTCGTAGCTCGATGTGTGGTTTGCTCTTAGTGTACTCAAAACCCTCGTTTGTGGCCCATTGCGGCTGCGGTCAAAAACCTTAGATAGTGGTTGAACCAAATCATTTTAACCCATCTAAGATGATTCTAGACCGGTTTTGTTTATACCAAACTAGAATAATTCGAATGTAACTAGACTAATCTAGAGTGATTGAAGACTAGTTTGTGCTGATTTAATGTTAGTTTTATTATATTTTAGTTGAAAACCTATCCGATTTAAGTCTAGCTAAGGCCCAGTTCGACTAAGGGTTGAGTGGGATTGATACCTAATGATTTTGAGGGCTAATCATATATTATCTCTTATACTTGGACTATATTAATATTGTGATCTTTATACTTAAAAAATTTACATTAAGATTCATATAGTTCTAAAAGTGTAACAAATAATTTCATTTACTCTAACATCGTTAGTTATATTGATAAAAAACATAATATATGACATCACGTGTCGAATCGACACGAAAGTGATAGGTAAAAAAATAATTTTAATATCCCTTTCATTTCAGATGTTGAAATTTTCTTTTTACCGATAAAGTCGCTAGGGATCCCAATATAATTTTTAAAACTATAGGGATTCCAATATAAATTTTTGAAGTACAAGGATCGTGATGCTAATATGGTCCAAATACAAGAGGTAATCTATAATTAGCCCTGATTTTGATGTTTAACAAATTTAAAAATTTTATCTAATGTATTCGATATGTATTCGAATGAAATAAATGAAATCAAATGAATGCTTAAACCATGAGATGACATATGAGGATCATGTCTCCTTATCGATGGTTGACAAGTCAGTACTAATACAGTATCTCCATTGGGGATTAGTGGGTTATCATATATAATGACTAAATAGTTTCTTCCAACAGAGGTGAGTTATCATATGTAGTGGTTAAATGGTTCCTTTGTTCTCTATTGAAAGAAACGTATCTCTACTTTGATGGATAAGGGGCTCGTATACGATATAAGTATTTTTTAACCAACTCTTATGAGAATACATAACATATGCCTCAGGGTAAGGTATATTGCCCATCATTACCCAACCTACTATAGGGCATCGAGATAACCACATCGGATGGTGGAACAAGTTGAGATGCCCATATCAGGTGATAGAGTTAGGATGCATTTGACCTACTATATGGCTGTCGAAGCGCTCACGTTAGGCGACAAAGGAAAGTTTTAGCCAACCCACTTTAGGGTTATCAAAATGGCCACATTAAGCGGTGGAGATTAGGTCTCAATCGATCTGGCATGGTGTTGTTACTAGGATGCCCACTTTGGATAGTGGAGATTATGTTACAACCAATCTAGCACAATGCCCCTAAATTGCCCACCTCAAGCAAAGGAGGTTAGATCTCAGTTGATCTTGCATAGTGTTGTTGAGATGCCCACTTCGAGAGGAGGTTGGATCTTAGTTGATTCGACACAATACGACTGAGGTGGCCACTTATTGAATTGTTAATCCACTCTTGTTTATGAAAGATATCTTGGAACTCTCATATATTTAGGATTGTCCACAAAGGACACACTAGGCACTTCAGATGCTTTGGATCCATCATGCATTAAAGATGTTTATGTTTATGAAGGACACATTGGAAGTTGGGATTTTTTTTTTTCGTGAAGGATGCGTCAAACACTTTAGTTGTTTTGGATCCATCATACATTAGATACACTTATGTTCATGAAGGTCACGTCGGATGTTAGGGTTTCTATCCATGAAGGATGCATCAGGTACTTTGGATACCTTTATTTACAAAAAACATATTAGATGCTTTAGGTGAATGATGCATCGAACATTGGGATGCTTTTATCCTTGAAGGATACATCAAAACTTCATATGCTTTTTTCGTCCACGAAGGGCTCTTTGTATGTTATAGATGCTTATACTCTCATTATGCATTTACTTAAAAGACAAAATCTAATGCTCCATGCAACAAAAATGTCTTGTTTGCTCATGATCCATTTGCCCTAGATAATAAAATATTTAAAGTGCATGATACATCCTTAGTGTCCAACTTGTATATGATGTGTCCACCTAGAATAAAAAAATATATATCTAAAGAGCTCGATCGATATGATCAAAGTATTATAATACATCTACCTAGGATAAAAAAAAAAAAATCGAATAGTATGATGCGACGAAAGTATCCTTTTGTATGTGATACATCCATCCTAGGCAATCAAGACTTGACATACGATAAACAAAAATAAAAAACATAATATAAATCATGTTCGAAGAAGATCTTCACAAATTTCATCTAATGATCGCAAAAAACACAACGAAAGGAAGTTTCCAACGAAAGAAACCTTGGCGGATTATATTGATTGTATGGACAACATATTATCCACAATTTATTGTCGGCAATGGTCCAGCACAGAGCATGAACTAAGGAAAAGTAATACTACTACTACTACTACTACTACTAGTACGATGACAAGACTAAAAGTGATTGTACATATAATTGATGTTCTTGAAATCCATCTGCTCCACGGGTGGCGGGTTCGGCTGTTGAACAACCGGTTCGTAGGGGTTCACCATCCGAAGAGAGTTGGGCGGCAGAACCGGGTTCAATATGGCTTGAATCGGTGGCCATCCGGAATCGATAGCCCCGAACCCGGCCGAGCCGGAAGCACCGGGTAGACCGGCGACCGTGAATGCATTAGAGGAAGACGCCCTCGTATCCATGTAGTAATCCGTGATGGGCAAACCAAAGTTCAGCATGGCTTGGAAGCCTTGCCATCTCGGATCACCCATCATCATCATCCCACCGGAGCCGGAAGCACCCGCATGATCGACGATCGTTACTTGGTTAGACGAAGAGGGGCCCGGATCGGTCGCGAACCCCCTGGCGGGCAACATGGGATTCATCATCGGCCGAACACCTCCCGCTGCTGTATCGATGGCCATAGTCCCTCCCGACCCGGAAGTACCTGCATGACCGGCCATCGTACCTGCGTCGGAGGGTACGTTGGACGCCATCTGCTTGAATCGGCTCTGGGCCCGAGTCTTTAGTAGCTCGAGTGACTCCACGAGCTCATCCAGCTGCGGTAGGCTGATTTTGTCCAGGTCCTCCAGCCACTCCAAGCCCTCGATTGCGACCTTGAGCTGCGCCTCGAGCTCCGCCTTCCTGGCCCTCTCGGCCTCGACCTGGCGGCTCAGGTCCATGACTTGCCCGTTCTTTTCATGGACCAATTTCCTCCGATAGATTTGCTCCTCCTGCGAACCGAACGACGGGAACAGACCTCCCAACAGAAAGCGATCCATGATCGGGTCCACGGCGGGGCTACCGAAGGAGAACGGTCTGCCGGTGGGGGAAAAGACGACCACGGCCACGTCGGTGCCGCACAGAGTGGAGAGATCGCTAGCCTTGGTGAAAACTCCATTCTTCCTCTTGGAGAAGCTGATGAAGAGAGCATTCTTGTCCGCTATCTTCTGCAACTGTATTTTTTGCTTGCCCTTGGAGGTCTTCTTCCTCTTCAACATTTTCTTGTGGCATCAACAAGCACGATCGTGAGTTCTTCCACACGCTCGCCCACCACCTCTATATATATAGTGAAATAAGTACTTTTGGGATGTACACAACAGGCAAGCACTCAAAACACTCGAATAATGCACATTAACTCATCGACGGCTTCGCGTTTAGAGAATTGAAGTTTTAGATGCTTCGTCGTCTAAAGCGTCCACCGTATGCAAATTAATGTAGAAAAACACGTTAATATCAATGACTAGAAACCTTGCAACCAATCAATCGTCTACTTTCTTTTATTTGTCTGGTGGACATAAGTGTCATTTACTTATTATTTTCTTGTATGATTTAGTCAATGCATGCCGGGGGGGCTTTCAATGCCCATATTATTCATAGTATATTGTGTAAATATAGATTTCCATGCTTCTATTACCTTCCTCACTCGGAAACACAAAGATCATATTGTACACACGATTTTTCTTTACTGATATGCATGTACTACGTAACACGATCCAGTGCTGACGGCAGTGATCATTCCCTTCCATGTTGGACTTGATTGATTCCGAGTTGATGCCCACGAAATGGTTGTCATGCATTTTCCTAAACAATTCTATTGTTTTTTTTTCTTTTTCTGTGTGTGTGTGTGTGAGAGAGAGAGAGAGAGAGAGAGAGAGAGAGAGAGTTTTGGTAACCTACCTATCATCAACCTTAATTAATGGTTTCTCATGGTAAGATCTTGGGAATGTATATGCGATGAGCTTATACATATGAATCGTATATTGGCAATCCATCCTTCCTATTCTAATTTACGTGCGAGACGAGCTTACACTTACTTTCAGCATGGTTATGTTTGGTGGGCGTGACGTCATATATAAAAAAGATGAAGAACCTAATGGATTCGAGAATCACATACTTAAGTATAATTACATACTTGGATTATTTATGGTTTGTAATCCAACTCATTTACCTAATGGATTATTAGTGTCAACTCGTATTGTCAAACACAATCACAAGGAGCCCGTAAGGTAGCACATTCGCTTGGAGCAATCCATCATCTCCTTGTTAGCCGTCGTCGTTTTCATGTTCTTAATGGACTATATGATGTTGCAACTAAGTCGACTCTTTGCAAACCGATGATGCTTGGGTGCCACATGAGTTAAAGCAATCGTAGCTAAGCGTATGACACTTAATATTAAAGCAAATAAGTGATCAAACAATTTACCATGTCCCGATGACATGGTGAACGGATCGGGGCTGCATGGGAGGAGCAACCCCTTCACCAATTGTTCTTGAAGGCCAAGTGTGACATAATGGGGAAGAAGGCAGATCCACTCAAGAGATGTATGATATCCGCATTCAAAGTATAGAGAGCATACCTCTCCTCGAGCGAAGGAAATTGAGTCATAAAGACAACCTAAACGACACAAAAGCCGCAAAGAACAAATGATAGAGCTTGAGATAACCCTCGTCATTATCCATGTAAATTAGTAGAACTATATGAAAGGAAATGATAGCTAATGGGAGCGAACCTCATAACGAGAATAATAGTTCTGATGTGAGCCCTACATGAGGGCAGATGGAGCTCCTCAGTCTTTTTTTTTTTTAACAAACTTTGATATTTCGATCAAGAAAAGAGAAAAATACATCGAAATTAATTTAAGCAAGAAATAAGCAAGAGTAAGAGAAAAAGAAAGACGTACCAATTTGTAGTGGTTCGAGTTTTTCAAACTATATCCGATAGATGAAGATCAGTAATAATGTATACTTTTTCTTCTTTTCAAGATTTAGAAGAGAATCTTACACTCAAGTTTTTACAAATATCTCACATCTTCTAGAATTTAGTAATTTAGCTAAAACTCAAGAAGATGAAAGACTTCATTATTATAATATTGAGTGCTCAAGATTGATACCCTAACAACCGAGTCTAAAGAAGATATTTATAGTCCAAAAGTCATATGGAGAAAAAATTCTTATCAAATGTGCTAAACAAGAAAGTGGAATTAGCAATAACTATATTGAAAGATGACAAAGGCCATATAGACTATAATCCGACATAGATTGATTGATAATAGACTCACAAAAAAAAAAATAATACATCGATGGACCTCAAGAAAGATACGACGATTTTAAGTCCATGTGGGACTCATTTACAATAAAAGGAATAAGGTGCATCTAACCTGCATCGCATCGATAACCTTCAACACTAACTCTTTTTTTTGTTTGCCAAATAAAACAAAAGGTATTAAAACTTGAACAACTTTGATACGATCACTTCCGTTTGCATCACTATGAACCAAAATCTCCAAGGCAGAAGGTAGCTCGACTTTCCAAAAGACAATGCCAGCTTGTATTCTTACAAGATTTGCAAGCTAATTTTCTAGTTGATTACTCTCCCGATAAATATGAGTAATATTCCATTCCAAAAATTGAGAATATAGAAAAGAAAGATACATCCTTAATGTTATTCAAAACTCCTCATAGGGGGTCAATCTTATTAGAAAGGATATTGACGATCTCATTTAGTAGTCTTCGAATGCCAACCTGCAAAGCTACTTAGATCCCGTCCTTGATTGCACAAGCTGCCTTCTTACCAGCTGCCTGCATCCATAGACTAAACGACATCCATTAATGCCTTTGATAATAAACCCTACTCTCCTAAATTCTTGTTGTCCCAAGACCCATCACAGTTCAATTTATGTCAGCTCTGTAATAGAGAGCATGAACTCCCATGAGAGTGTGATAACACTCTCTAGGTAGGTCATCTAGCATATAATAAACATCTCACCCTCTTGTATAGGACATTTGATTGGCCTAAGATGGGGAGCATGGATAGGATTGTGTGTGGACATATCTTAGATGCTAGTATGATAAGGTGGAGGGACAATATGTGTGGACATATCTTACATGCTAGTATGGTAAGGTGGAGGGACAAAAGCACTTGGGTCCCTTAGAGCCATGGTCGGTGTCAAAGTGATCTTGGAAGAGCATATCTATCAACTTCATATGTACCTTGTCGAAGGTGGAGCAATATGGGTCCATCTCGATGATGGTCAATCAGTTTTTCAAGTGTGCGACTTTCATTGTGGTACTCTTGCATTCATATGGTAAAAGAGGCACACAAACTCGTTATGTGAGATGTGGTGAAGTATCAGGATGCATTAAAACATCATCGACGATTAAGTTTTGAGATTCTTGGGACTCTTTTGGATGGTTTTGTTACGACTTAGCTTCCAACTACACATCCATGTGTCTACATTCCCAAACTAATGGCTAAATAGAAAGAGCGAATACTTTTTGGAGTAGTTCCATCCAAAAGGACTAGGTGAACCCAACATATGTAGTCTAGTTCTCTTACAACTTGCTACAAAGCTATTAACTAGCAAGAAGCCCTTCAAGATACTCATGAGAGAATAATCGATCTCTCCACATATTCTTATAGTTGGATTCATTAAGATACTTACGAGAGAATGACCTCTTCGCATATTCTCATAGTCGGATACATTAGAAGTAACACATTTGTTTATCATACTTCAAAAGAATGAGATCAAAATATAGAATTATCTCAAGTTTATTGAGAAGACGATAAAGAAAATGAAGTGAGCTGATTTGGTAAGGCGACTTCGGGAATTCAAAGTTGATGATAAGGTGTTGGTGAAATTTTGACCAATATCCTTCTAGTTCTTCGGGCAATAAAGAGCTAATGCATAAACATAAAGGCCCTTTATCATCACAAGGTAGGCAATATGTTACATGAAGTTCAACTCCTAACATGGATCAAAATATCCATTTTTCACACAAGCAACTTGAAGCCCTATCACACTAATCCATAGGACCCTTCAAGGAATATCTCAACTCTTCGTTTCTGACAAAGATGTCTTATGAAAAGCGAGTGGACGCAACATTAGTAGATCGCAAGCGTAAGGTTCTCACTAGTGCATACCAAATTGAGTAATTATTGAGGTGGCAAAACATTTCCAAAATGAAGGCTATAGGAGCTAGTAGATGCTCTATGCCATGAATTGATCATCAAGGCATTTCCAAAGCAAATTAATGGGGGCATCGATGAATGAAATGGCAAAAAATGTGAGACAACTACAACAAGCCTCTGCGACACAGCACCTTCACCATGTGAGCAGTCTGTCTTTTTTTTTTTTTTTGTCATCACTTGTTTTTTTATCTATATAGTTTCATTGATCGTCGATAATGAAAATGATCAAAACAACTCTATTCTCTTATGTTGTGATAGCTTTTCTAGATCTCATGATAGTGATATGAACAACAATCATCTCAACACTATGAACCTCTCGGGTGGCACCGAGCCAGGTGGAGTTTTAAGATGGTAGTTTGAGAGCATCAACTTGTGAAATCATTAGCTGCATGCTCATGCAAGTGTGAGACAGTCTAACATTAGAGACTCTACCATCATTCGGAACAACGATCGTCTTGTTAAGAGTTTTTGTTACATTCAATTGTTTGAATAGTGTGAGACTTAGTCTATTGCTTGCATCTTCCACTAATCATTTTCTTTATAGGTCCTTAACAAACCATATGAAGTTATGACTAGATTCACTATTAGTGACTAGATATCCTTTGGATGATTGATGACTTGAGGTGACTTTGGATGGAGTTGTTATGACTCAGCTTCAAACTAAACTTCTCCATGTGTTTGTATTCCCAAACTAATGGCTAGATGGAAATAGTAAATGTTTCTTTGGAGTAATATCTATGACATTCTTTTCGTTCCATCCAAAAGGACCATGTGAAACTAATAAAAGTAGCCTAATTCTCTTACAACTTACACATGAGAGCTCTATAACTATTAAAAATCCTTTTAAGGTACTTACAAAGAGCAATCAATCACTTCACTTATTCTCATAATCAGATTCATCGTAAGTGGCTCTTATGTTTAAGGAATGATACCAAAACATAGAAATATCTCAAACTAAAAAATAAAATAAAATGAGTCGATTCAGGAAGACAACCTCGAGAATTCAAGGTTGGTGGTGCTAGTGAAGTTTTGACCAATATCGATCAATTTTTCGGGCGGTAAGGGCACAAAGGATCGGTGCCTAAACATAAATGTCCTTTACCATCATAATAAGGGCAGGCGATGTGTCATTGTCAGTTCAACTCCTGGTTCAAAATACACAACATTTTTCTATGAGGAACTTACTGATCCATAGGGCCCACCAAGGAATACATTCCCCCCCCCCCCCATATAGGTGCCTCATGAACGGTGAATTGAAGCTATATCGGTGGATGTCATGCTCAAGCTTCATACTAGTGTGCGGAGTGATGAAACATTAGTAAAACAAATATTAATTGAGAGCTAGATGTTCTACACCATGAATTGATTATCAAGCCATCATTCCTAAGGGCATCGATAAATTAAGTGGAAGAAAATGTAGCATCTTTGTCATTTGTCTTTTTTTTTTTAATTCGTCGTCACTCTTTTCTTTCAAGTAACAAGACATGTAATAGCTTTATAGCTCCATCTCGTATGATTTTATTTGTATTCTAATATACAAAAGATTTGTAGCTCATTTGGTTGATCGTTATTAGTATTAGATTAAAAATGATCAGAACAATAATTTTCTCCTTTGTCACGAATGTGTTTCTCAATCGCGAGGGGCTAACGACTCATAAAATTAATCATCATAATACTCTTAACTCCTCGAGTGGCATCATGCCAAGTAGGGCTTTGGATATAGTTGAAGAGATTCAATGACTTGTGAGATTAGTAGTTATATGTTCATATAAGTGTGAGGCTCTATCAAGTGAGACATCAAAGATCGTACTATCGTACGAAACAATCATTGTTTGTGTAGTATAGTATGTTCATGCACAATCTATTGCTCTCGAATTCGACTAACCATTTCCTTTGTACGTCCTTAGCAAATCATACGAGAGGAGAGGTTACAAGTAATGTTCACCTTTTGCAAGTAGGCATCATTTGGATGATTCACGATTTATAGCATACTAAATCAGCTTGTAACAGTATGACACAAAAGCTAAATCCGAGTATGTAAACAAACGAATACTTCCTTCTCTCAAGCGGATGCGGGTAAGGATCCGCCAAACCAAAATCCTTGTGCGAATTTTATGCGGTTATTCGCATAAGATCTCCCTGAAGGTTTCACCGTCCGAAGATATATCTTTCTTTAATTTGAAATAGACAGGCGGTTGAGATGAGAAGTGGGAATAAAATGAACGGCATCGAATGCAGGCTTATAGAAATTCCATGCGGATATCCGCATGCAAATTGGCTCGGTGATGCACCCTCGGTACGACCACCGTCATCATCCTCCTCCCATTCTTCTTCTCCCTCTCGTCTTTTGCTATCGGACGCCTCGACTCCATCTGGTTTGTCACCTCTTACCCGCACGTCACTGCTTGCATCTTCAGCTCTCTCTTCTCTGTCTCGCCCTTGTTCACACCCTGATCCTCGAGATCGGAAGGGAAGGATGCAGCCCGGCAGCGAGGCTTCCCGACGTATCGCTAGGATCAATTCTCACCTCCACCCTCCCGTCTCTCAGGTGTTCAATGAGAATTCCTTTTTCCTTTTGATTATTTTGGAAAAAGAAGCCGGTTTGATTGCTGCGTTCTGTTGATGGTTTTTTTTGGGTGCCAAGATCGAATCTTGGTGGCGGTCTTTGATCGTTAGGGTAGTTGGGGTTTTCTATTTTGTGTCCTCTACCGCCGTCGTTATTCTAGGGTTTCTTTTAAGAATAGTCTGTTTATTGTCTTGTTTACTTGGAAGCCGATGATTGGGCAAAGAACATGATGGTCTCGGTACGTGTTTGCGTTTCTTTGGTGTGATGAGTTTTCATTTGTGTGGTTGAAGATGGAGGAGACCTCCTTGCTGAGGAGAGCGAATTGCCGGTCCAAAGGAGGGGCGTCAGGATTTAAGGTGGCGATTTTGGGTGCTGCTGGGGGGATCGGTCAACCGCTTGCTTTGCTGATGAAGATGAATCCTTTGGTGTCGGTTCTGCACCTTTACGATGTTGTCAATGCTCCCGGTGTTACTGCAGATATAAGCCACATGAATACTGGTGCCGTGGTAATTGTTTCGACACTCATTGGCTTATCCTGTACTTCTTGCATGAGTTCAAGTTCACGGTAGTTTAATTCAAGCATCTAGCCAAATTCCTCAAATTTAGCTACATTTTTGGTTGGCTTATCCTGTACTTCTTGCATGAGTTCAAGTTCATGGTAGTTTAATTCAAGCATCTAGCCAAATTCCTCAAATTTAGAAACCAAATTTAGCTTCAGTTTTGGCTGCTCCTTTTCTCAGGTCCTATGGTTTATGATGATACTTAATATTGCTTTTGAAAAAATTAGGTACAATAATATACTTCTCATTTGGTCGTCCAGGTTCGTGGCTTTCTGGGCCAGCCCCAATTGGAGGATGCACTTGCAGGAATGGACCTTGTCATTATTCCTGCTGGTGTCCCTAGGAAACCAGGAATGACCAGGGATGATTTATTTAACATCAACGCTGGAATTGTTAAGACGCTTTGTGAAGGAATTGTTAAATGCTGTCCCAAGGCTATTGTGAACGTGATCAGCAATCCGGTGAACTCTACTGTCCCTATTGCAGCTGAGGTTTTCAAGAAGGCTGGTACTTATGATTCCAAGCGTCTTTTGGGAGTGACTATGCTTGATGTAGTGAGAGCCAATACTTTTGTGGTATGTATCAAATTTAGTTCAGCATTACTTGGGGAGAGTTCTGAATATTGTCAGCTTTAAATGTTGTGGGTCAATTATTGAATTTTGTTTCCTTACAATTTTAGGTTGATGAGACATTGCAATCTTTGTCCAGTTGTAGTGTCATCTCGATGAATTAATTATGCAATATGAGATTATATAAATTCATTCTCTTTATACCAATAATCTCTAGTGACTTATTGATGCCTTGTTTACAGGCTGAAGTATTAGGGATTGATCCCAGGGATGTTAATGTTCCCGTGGTTGGTGGTCATGCAGGAGTTACAATATTACCTCTCTTATCACAGGTGGACAAACTCCCTTATATTACAAATTTCTTTTATGCAGTTCAGTTTTATAAGTTTGTAGGCACTCCCATCAGAAATTTTCTACATTGACTGTGTTCTGTGTTATCACGTTGTGTAGGTCAATCCTCCATGTTCATTTACGCCTGAGGAAATTAGTTATCTAACCAATCGCATACAAAATGGAGGAACAGAAGTTGTCGAGGTAAATTAAGAGAAGTGTTATTCTATTCAAAGTATTACTTGAAACTTTTTTTCGTCAGGTTTACATTTTGCAGTCAAGTTTGGTCACCTTCCTGTAGTATTCCTTTTGTGGAATTTTATGGGGAATGAATTGGCAGAGTGAAGATTGAGGGGAGTGGGCACTTACATATTATTGGTGTTGCAGTTGGTGGTTTGAGAATTGGAGTTGATTAATTGATTGCTGGAGATAAGGAACTATTTGCATAATAATGCCTTAGATTGATTGCCTCCCACACCTCGCTCACCCATGAGGGCAAGATTTGAAAATCCATAGAAAAAAGACAGGAAGATGTGCATATATGTGTGTTTGTGTGTATACACACACACACACACACACACACACACACACACACACACACACACACACACATATATATATATATATGTGTGTGTGTGTGTGTCTGCGTGAGCAACAGTTGATGCAATATACTTTAGGTTTTTGTTTATCACATGGACACTGATGAAGAAAATGAACATGTAAGAGTCTAAAGTTACTATTATTTTTAAAAAAAGAAACAAACATGTACAAGAGAAATATGATAGAGGTAATACATCAGGTTATTAGAAGTTGTGAAGACGTAAAGTTTGATAGGAATGGCTGCTTTCTATTACTCAAAGCTAAATGCAAAAATGAAATGAGTGGATTCAGTTAGGTTTTCAGTTGGCCTAGGTTATAAGTGGACTGGGTTGAGAATAAGTTAGAACTGATTTATGTTGTACTTGGTATTTGTTTGCTGTCAAAAGTTTGCTGTCAAAAGTTTAGTAGTAATACTCTTGGTATTTGTTTGCTGTCAAAAGTATCATGGAGTTGTAATTGGAGCTAGTTTCTGAGTTTTGATAAGAAACCGACTGATTGATTTTCTAGTAGTTTTCTGAAACGATTATACTAGTTTTGAAGGATCTTTAATCCAAATATAGTATCAGGAGTCTCGTCTTTATATTCAAGGGTGTGTCAGATGGGAAGTCACAGGTTTTACATGATTCATTATTAAAAACAGAATCAGGTATTATTTTAAGGCTAAAGTCCATTCACTAGTCCCTTAAAATATCTGTTATCTTCTTTTCTTGACATATTTTCTTATCTGCTGCTGTTATTTTTCTTTACCTATTTTATGTAATTTCTAACAGCAATTCTACTGTTGCTCACTGGTTTTATTTAGTTGAAGAAAACGTTTTCATGTTTGGGTCTGCTATGAATGATTTAGATAACTAAGGATCATGTAAAGCTTCCATGGAGCATTCAATTGAGCCGTGATGAAAGATCAACATCTCAGGAATTGCTAAAATTTGTCCTGAGTTTATGATCTTGCTATTTACTAATTTTCTGTTACAAGCACCTATATGGTCAATCGGTGTAGTTGAAGTCTATTCTTTGCAATGTGGGAAAGAACTAGTTTGTCATTGTATGCTCTTGTGAGTTGTGAAGGCCATTGGTGGGAAGCTTAAATGCTGTTGGCACAATCTGGTGCATTGTGTGCAGATTTGTGTTTGAAGGGACTATCCTATAGGGGTTAGAAAGTTATTCTTAGGTGAGGGGTTAGAAAGTTATTCTTAGGTGAACATTGAGTTTTGAGGAAGGACAGCATCAACTTAAGGAATCCCAAAATATGGAGGAGGAGAGGACACTGCCATCACGATTTGAGAAGCAAGCCATATCCTAAGCCACAGATGAACCTAAAATTTATACAATGGGAAGCCTAGAGACTAATGGCACAATCTGTTGCATCTGTATGTGGTACAAGGGACTATGTACTCTAGGGGCTAGCAAGACAGTTTGAGTCAACATTGAATTTTAGTGAAGAACACCATCAACTTAATGAAATTGCAGAATTGGAAGAGGAGAGGACACTATCATTTCGACTCAAAAAGTGAGCACATACCCTAAGCCAAGGCTGAAGCTAAGCTTTTTACAATGGCAAATCTAGATAATCTTGGCAAAATCTGGTGCATTTGTGTGCAGAGATGTGGTAGAAGGGGTTATGTACCTTAGGGGTTAGCAAGCTAGTCACAGGTCCATTAAGTTCTTGGGAACTGCAGCATCGACTAAAAAAACTGTAGAATTCAAAAAGGAAAAAAGACACTCTCAACTCAAAATGTGAGATCATACCTTGAGCCAAAGCTGAAGCTAGTGGTTTGTGTTGGAGAGTAGCAGGTTGTTATCCATCATGGAGAGGATCAGCTGCTGTAATTATGTTATACTGACATGTAGTTCTATGACCAGTACTTGCGATCCATGATAAAGATGTTTATTATGTTTGCAACATATTGAATTCTTTTTTGGTAATTTATTCATGTGAAGATTGGGCATGGTAAGAAGCAGTAGGTGGTTTACCAGTTACCAATGTATCAGAGATTGTGGAGCACAATCAAAATAAACATAGCTGAGGTTGATTAGGTTTATCTTGGTTCAAAGATGGGTTAGGAGTTAGGACTAATTAGCATCACATTTAGCTTGCTTTTTCTAATGTCAGATACTGTACTTATATTTTCTAGTAAATGTGACAAATATATCAGAGTTCAATTAAGTTTTGATAAGAGAGCATTTGATACGAAATTGGTTCATTGATTTTGCAATGGTTTCAAGAGCCTCAAAAGGTCTCAGAGTCATACTTTATGGAACTACAATACTGTTTATTTGTCTCCAGCTGGGAATAAAGTTCTGTGCAATCTTTGCTGACGGGGATAATAGTTTTTTAGCTGAGATACGAAAGAAAAAAAAAAGAGTATCAGACTATGATTCTTTATGTAGTCTTTTTTTTTTGTTTGTTTGTTTGTTTACCCACCTGACAGGGATAATAGGTTTTTAGCAGAGAGATGAAAGGGAAAAAAAAGGAGTATCAGACTATGTATCTTTATGCAGTCTTTCTTTTTGTTTGTTTTTTTGGTTACTCACCAGCATCCTAAAAAGGCTTTTTCCCTGAAGAAGGGAAAAATTCTTCAACTTCAAGCTAGTTCCACATTTTTTATAGTTATCTATTGATTGTAGATGATGCTCAGATATGTGTGTAGAATTTTTTGTAAATGTTGTCAAAGACCATAAAGGTACAATAGGACTTAAGTTGTGAAATGCCAAAATTAGTTTACATTGATGTAGCCTCTTAGCTGTAGTAGAACAACAAATGGCTAGAGAATCTAATTTAACAAATGTGGCTATATTCTTCAGCTATTAAAGTTACATGTATTTGTTCTTTGTTAGTGCTTTAAAAAGCATAATTTTGTCTCTCTATGGATTTATATTAGTTTCTAGCCATGTTGGTTACTATGACATTTATCTGTTGTCTTCGAAGTTTATATAATCCTAAGGATTGCACAGAAAAAATGTTGAGTCTGGGTTTTACTTGTTGAATGTTGATAAATGCTAAATGGTACATTGTTTAAAATTGCAGGCAAAAGCTGGTGCTGGTTCTGCAACATTGTCAATGGTTGGTGTCCTTCACTTGAGTCTCCATTATATATATATATATATATATATATATATATATGTGTGTGTGTGTGTGTGTGTGTGTGTGTGTGTGTGTGTGTGTGTGTGTGTGTGTGTGTGTATATATATATATATATATNTGTGTGTGTGTGTGTGTGT